ATAATTCTAGAAAGAAACCAGTAATCTTCATGCATTGGTACCATCATGCACTCACCTTTGTCTACGCCACCATCACCTATTCTGAGCATCAAGCTTGGGCCCGATGGTCGCTTGCACTCAACCTTACAGTTCATACCATCATGTACTTGTAAGTTTATTACAACCACTTCAAATATTTCAAATTTATTTATTCTTAAAGTTATAAGGAATTCACCAGCAGTTCAAGATATAGGAACTTAAAATTATCGGATGAGAGCCTCCGAAACGATAGACAGGAATCACAATGACTACCCATTCTGGGCGCGATGCGCGAAGTACGACAAAGGGTATCGGTCAGGAGGTTTACGGCTACTTGAATTTGATTCTATGGCCCTGTCGCGAATGTCTAGAGCACAGACGATTAGAGAACGGCGCCTGGCTCGGCTCAAATCCCAAGGAAGGAAGGTGAGAGCCCTAGGACTAAGCCTTGGTGGAGGAGGGACTTCGAGGTGGGTGAGCCAATTACAGTGTGGCAAAAGTTTGAATGTGTGAGATCACAGTGGTCATGAGCCGCTGTTAAGGCGAGAGAGCGCAGGCGAGAGCATCAAATTGAGGCGGTTTGAAGGACCGAGTTCAAGCAGTCCAAAAACGGGTCAAGAGGCCGGCGTTAAGGCTGCGCGATTTCACGCGCGCCGACAGTTACCGTATTCAACTGAAGTCGTATTTGTCCACATTTGGTGAAACGGCAGACCAGGACATACCGAATAATCCTTCCTTTCACTTTTCCACTAAAATCATGAATTGCCCCTAACTATAATAGTTCTGGCTTGTCAAACACGAGGAGACGAAAAACCAGCCTTCACTTATTCCACTGACGCCATAAAATAAATTGTATTGAACGCAAACAAATACTGTAGAACTTAATCATTTGCCGCAAAAGTGCTACAGTAGGCTGCAACTATTAAAAAATTTGCAAGCCGTCACATTATGGGTCTCCTGACAGGCACCCACATGGCCAAACTGGAAAGCCTTTCTTACTTTATTTCTTTTTCATTTTGCCTAGTATAATATTGACAATTTTCAGCTATTTCGGAGTTCGAGCACTAAAAATCGACACCCCACGACCGGTGGCGAAATTCATCACAACAATTCAAATTACACAATTCGTGATCAGCTGTTACATATTCGCACATCTTGTCATCATCAAAAGCTATAATCAAATTCCGAACTGTGCTGTAAGGTAAGCAATCAATGCATAGAATACTTTATCATTAAACTACAACTGCATAGGGATTACATTGCAAGTGAGCACGAGGCCGCCCTGCCGCTTCGCGACCGCGTGCACAACTGCAACGAATCGCGTCCTCTTCACTGCTCTTTCGAAGCGGTGATATCGCTTTTTAGGAATTAATTAAAGTCCACAATTTCAGCTGGAATGTCCTATCAATCGGTGGTCTCATGTATCTCAGCTACCTCTACCTATTCGCCGAGTTCTTCTACAACGCTTACATCAAGAAGCGATCACCAGCAAAAGCAAAATCTCAGTAATAATGTGTGTACGAGCGATTTATTTCCACAATGGAAGAAAACATTTCACCCAGTTGAACTCATTCAAAAAACGATAATAAAGATTTTTTACAATTTTTTTTCAAACAAAAACAAGGAAAACAACCAACAAGCACATGATCGCCTCCAAAAAAAGCACTCAATGTAACCATTATGAAACACAGTGACAAGACGAGAGAGTTATAGGATATGAATTTCCCTTGGAAAGGATGCGAAAAAAAGTCCGAGCATTCGGTCAGACTTCATTTTCATTCACTAACAAATTCGGAATACCATCCTTTATTGGGAACTTCCTACCGGTATCCGGACATTCCAGCTCTCCATCCACAATTTCGACGCATAGCATCACCCGATGCAACTGTAACAGCACAATCAGCTCTATCAGACAAAAAACAAAGCGAAATATTGCAAAACATGAAATTATTTCAAATTTCATGTAGTTGGGAATATATTTGATTATTAATCGACTGTTAGCCGACCAAGGTGCAGCGTCACGGTCTTGTGTCGCTTACGCCCACCGCTTATTGCGTGAATTAGCAGCCCGCCACTACAGCTGCTGTAGTGGCAAGTGGCACGCTTACCACGAGCGGTCCGGGGATCAAATCCTGGGTCGTGAGTCGCCCGGGCCAACCAAGCCTTCCATCCCTCCGGGGTCGGTTAATTGGTACCAGACTTGTCTGGGAGGATAAAAACACTGACTTGTACATCGGCTGGCCCCGCAAGTCATTGTATAGGCCACATCGCATTCAAACGCCACTACGAATGTACAAATGGAAGTAGAATGCGTGCCGCATCCCAAAAAGGGATTGATCAACGGCAAATGCTTTATCCTTTTATTTTAAACCACAATCAGCATAGATGAATGCGCATTCATGCAGATCCCCGCGATCAGGGCGCTTTCATTGAGAACACGAATCGAGTATAATCTTGCTTCATAAAAGAGCTCTTTACAAGATTTTACAAAATTTCCTTCGAAAAATTAGCACAAACAGTATAGAGAAATATCAAAGCTACTGGATAATTATGAAGTAATTTCAAAATGCAAATAAAAAATTCGGAATTTCGACCCGAATACTTAGAAATTTTAGCTTGTGAATGTGAATCGTGAACCAACCTCCATGAGCACCGGTGTGTTAGTCTCCCAGTCGTCTGGTAACGTCGCAGGCATGTTGCCGGCTTCACCGATTGAATAAGCCGCATTGTATAACGAAGCATAATCAAGCTAATAAAAAAATTTGTTACAAAAGCAATCGGAAACCTACTTCCACAAACAAACAGAAAAGGACTCACCTTAGGCATCATATTTAGAACGAAGTTCTCATTGAATTCAACTTCCTTATTAGCTATTTGATTTGCTCTTAGGATGAGTGGATATCCATTGGTCACGTTTTTTAGAAACCTGGATGACAGGAAATTGTGCGTGAGCAGTTTCATCTGAACCGAGAAATGAGATCTTCGTAGCCGACTCCACCAAATAAAGAAACTGTCCATGAACTTGGAACACAAAAATAGACAATAGTGCATCTAACACTTTGACCAACGCAATAGTCAAGGATTCATCATAATTTAATTATGAGATACAATGCAATAACACGAAATAGAAGTGAAATTTCACCTGAACACAAGTCTTGAAACAATTTTCGAGAAAAGGAACAGTATCTCTAGAACTCAGTTACACAAGTTAGTAATTGAACAGAGTTTATCTATTATAGTAAATGAGCATCAGTGAATGGGACAGATTTTAATAACCATCTTATGGCGAATATAAGTTATTCACATGGCAAGAAAGAAACCAAAAGAGCACTATACCCGTACAAGACGAAAAACAATTAGAAATCCTATAGAAAACATCAAGAAATCTACCAAAACCTATACTGTCAATAAAAATGATCATACCTATTAAAGATGCTCATCTCTGCCCAATACGCTAACCCTTACACTAGGTTTCTAGGTTTCAGAATCATACAAGTAAAAGCATTACAAGAAATTGAAAAGCAGCAAGAAAACCGGGAGATATTCCGCATTGAAAGATACAAGCTACCCAAAATGACCCTTAAATCCAGCTTCCAGAACGACATGCATATTCAAACACTATCAAATTATGCAACAGGATTCAGATATAAGCTAACTAATCAAAAATGTACCTAAAATAGCACAGACGCGCAGGCATAGCAACTACAGATAAATGAAAAATAAATCATATCTAAACCAAACGAACCAAGACAACAGAAATGAAAGAGTACAGAGAGAAATATGCAGAGAATATCAACGCACTTGTGTCATCCTACTCATTATTAAACCCCTTACATCTCAACCTTCTCAATATCCCCTTTTGGTTCAGGCTTACCGTTGGCTCGTTTGAGATCGAATATGATACAGACTTGTCGTACCCGCAAAAGCTTCAAGGGCATTCTGTGTCCTTGTTGATAGGAGAAAGGTCAATCTCTGGAAATCCTTCGACTGAGTTGCTACTACCATCCAAATCATATCGCACAATGCTCTGACTGCTAGCATCCATAGACTGATCACCACTTTCCTAAAGCATGAAAAGATAACAACTGTTGAAACAAAAGCGATTACAAGCGGAATTAAGCAAAAAAAGCTACAGATCAAAAAATGTAGACGATTTTGAGCTTATGACTCCCTTGCAATTCTTGCAGCCTACGAATTGAAGAAGAGGTTTCGATCTACCCAGTGCGGGAAATCAGTAACTGGAGAATTAACTGGGCCGCAAATCGCCAGACACAAAAGCGTCACACGCGCGTTCGCTCGACTACCGTTACTATGCCTCTGCAGAGCAAACCCACACGACGGCGAGACAATACATTCTACGCATTAGCAAAAGGATTATGAGGATTAGGTTCTGAGAAAAGATCCTTAGCTAACAAATAGTCAAATATAAAAGAGAGCAGCAAAAAACGCGTCGAGGTGAGTCGATAATGTTGCGCGATAAAAAAGAGCCTTCTAATATAAACACACCTTATTAGGATATTCAAGCGTACTTCTTCCTCATGCTCGTGTAAGTACTAACACAATAAAGGATAAATAAAGCATTTGCCGTTGATCATTCCCTTTTGGGA